CAGGCGTTTAATAAAATATTAACATCTATCTATATTTTCCTAACCAATGTAGATAATACATTTAGATATATATACTAGGGAGGTACCACCACCCGGCCACTTATAGGGAACCCATAGCCTTGGAACAACTAATATATATTACATTGATAATTTACTTTTTACTTTGATAATTTACTTTTAATTTTGATAATTTACTTTTAAATTTGATAATTTACTTTTTACTTTGATATATTACGGTTTATTTTGATAAATATTCCTTCCTTATGACAACAGCTTTCACCACAATAAGGGAACTTGTTACTCTATCAGATATCAGGCTATCACATGTTTATCTCCCTAAGACCTCTTATCTATGAATGGTCAAGTTATGACCGGCGCCTCTGATCGTACCCAATCACCTAGCGCCGATCACGTGACGTCACCATCACACCACTCCCTTCTGTCCAATCACGAGTCGTGATTACCTTTAGGGCTTGCATCTTATCGTAAGATATTCTTATCACTGGATTGGTCGTACGTGATGCCAAGGTGCAAGAGGCACAGAGGGTTATAATAGATTAGAATGGGATTAGGGATAAGTGAATACATGGAGTAACAGTTAGGAGACGTAGACAAGACTTATAAACAATAAAGTATATGTAAACTGTATGGCTAGCAAGGCCCTTATGTCATCGCTTGGAATTAGTTAAATTTTAAGCTTAGGTTATGTATAGTTAATTATTATTAGGTTAACTAAGCTTAGATCATGTATAGTTAATTAAGTTTAGGTTAATTAAGCTTAGGTAATGTATTATTAAGGTTAAGCTATATATATATTTTGTTAATCATGGCTTGGTTTAGTTGCTCTAAGATAAGGTAAGTTAATTAGGCTACTGGAAGCTGTTTTTTTGTTTTTTGTAACCTGACCTTGGAAAGTACATCATCAAGAAGCTACTTAAAAGTGTCATACACACTTAAGTTGTAACTTTCTACACGTAGAGTGCGTAAGTTGTGGCCGAGATCAGCGGAATTTCTTAAAACTTGATTCTGTCAGCCTTTATCACATATTATCTCCTCTTTGGTATGCTCTCGAGAGATAAGTTAGGACAAATGCTTCCAAGGTCACCTTAAAATCTCATCTCAAATGTGACTAGATTTGTAGGATATTACTTACGAAACATCCTGTAGCATAATATATATATATATATATATATATATATTATATATATATATATATATATATATATGTACTATATATATATATATATATATATATATATATATATATATATGTACTATATATATATATATATATATATATATATATATATATATTATATATATATATATATATATATATGTACTATATATATATATATATATATATATATATATATATATATATATATATATATAGAGAGAGAGAGAGAGAGAGAGAGACAGACGAGAGAGAGAGAGACGAGAGACACGAGAGAGAGACGAGAGAGAGAGAGAGAGAGAGAGAGAGAGAGAGAGAGAGAGAGAGAGAGAGAGAGAGAGAGAGAGAGAGAGAGAGAGAGAGAGAGAGAGAGAGACAGAGAGAGAGAGAGAGAGAGAGAGAGAGAGAGAGAGAGAGAGAGAGAGAGAGAGAGAGGAGAGAGAGAGAGAGAGAGAGAGAGAGAGAGACAGAGAGAGACAGAGAGAGACAGAGAGAGAGAGAGACAGAGAGAGACAGAGAGAGAGAGAGACAGAGAGAGAGAGAGAGAGAGAGAGAGAGAGAGAGAGAGAGAGAGAGAGAGAGAGAGAGAGAGAGAGAGAGAGAGAGAGAGAGAGAGAGAGAGAGAGAGAGAGAGAGAGAGAGAGAGAGAGAGAGAGAGAGAGAGAGAGACAGAGAGAGAGAGAGAGAGAGAGAGAGACAGAGAGACAGAGAGACAGAGAGAGAGAGAGACAGAGAGAGAGAGAGAGAGAGAGAGAGAGAGAGAGAGAGAGAGAGAGAGAGAGAGAGAGAGAGAGAGAGAGAGAGAGAGAGAGAGAGAGAGAGAGAGAGAGAAAACGGGACAGAATAGAGGAATGTGGAGAAGAAGAAATACAAGTGACCTACTTCAGCTGGTATTATCAATAACCAACATGACACAACTATTACCCTAGCAAGGTTGTGCTTGATCAATACCTCACAGACGCTCTGTCGGTCGTGGGTCGATGCTCCACATACAATGATATACAATGTTAGTTTCTCATTAATATAGCCCATTATGATGATGAATTGGTAAGCGAAAGTGTAGCGTTCTACTTTCCGCATCGGGGAAAAATGTCTTCCCTCCGTCTTGCTTAGTTATTTAGAAGGTATGATATAATCTATTATTGAGAATAATGACAAAAAAAAACAGATTGTACAACAGAAAACAGAAAAATTGTACTATAATGTATTATATTTATTTTACTATAATGTACGTGGTTCTTTGGTCAGGTGTTCGACTTGAAGCCTATATTAATATTTTGCTATCGCGTTGCTTTATTTATTTGGGGCCACATGATTTGCAGTGAATGTTTGACCGGCCAGAAAGATTACTTCAGTTCTGGGATTAAGTAAAACCGTCAGTATTAATTCCGCTTGTCAGATATATCGAAAGTTTAGTTTGATAAATAAACTGTAGCGATAGCAAGGGGCCAGATTCACGAAGCAGTTACGCAAGAATTTACGAACCTGTACATCTTTTCTCAATCTTTGGCGGCTTTGTTTACAATTATTAAACAGTTAATGAGCTCCGAAGCACCAGGAGGCTGTTTATAACAATAACAACAATTGATTGGCAAGTTTTCATGCTTGTAAACTGTTTAATAAATGTAACCAAAGCCGTCAAAGATTGAGGAAAGATGTACAGGTTCGTAAGTACTTGCGTAACTGCTTCGTGAATCTGGCCCAAGGCCCTTATGTCATCGCTTAGTTTGACGTTGGACTTGTAAGGACTACAATAGCCTCAACCACGATAGCCTACTGACCAACCGGCAAAATATATTTTAGATTAAACTGCTCTCACAGTGAATTATTTTTTTTCTTTGTTTTAAAAATTTGTTTGTGGGTGAAAGCTTGTGCAGGAATGTTTAATCATAGTTTTAACATGGGTGACATATAAATAAAAATTTCTGCAGGCTGTCTTTCAGCGTCAGGATGGCCGAGCGGTCCAAGGCGCTGCGTTCAGGTCGCAGTCCGGTCTTCCGGGCGTGGGTTCGAATCCCACTCCTGACAACTTCATTTTCCTACTCTTACTTTCATTTTACCGACCTTTCTAGTTTAATTCCCAGTCTTCCACAATCATGCACGTAGAAAAACACTACAATTTATAAGGTAAAACAGATAAATATATTAACTTTAAAATAAAAATAACGGGAATTTAACAAAATCTCACAAGGTCCCACCGAGACTCGAACTCGGATTGTTGGATTCAGAGTCCAAAGTGCTAACCATTACACCATGGGACCGATGTAGGGAGCTGCCGTGTTTAATTATTTCAAATATAATTATTTCATTTTCGATTGGTTACCTCTGGAGGATAATACGTTAACAATTAATTTATTATGAGGGGGGACAGACCGCTTGTGTATATATAATGTTATGCTTATATCGAGTTCTCCCTCCCCCCCTACTGCCCCCCCCCCCACCCCCACTCCCTCTCAAGACACAACCCAAAACTACTGACTAATTACCGGGTATCTATTTACTGCTAGGTGAACAAAATACTTTAGGGACCAAAGTGAGGACTTGGAAAGATACGTGATCAACCAGGCTGTGCTTCACGCGTTAGGGAGCTGCGAGCAGCCGCGTCCAACAGCCTGGTTGACCAGACCATCAACCAGAAAACTGTGCAAGATTCATGAAAGCAGTTACGCAAGCACTTACGAACGTGTATATCTTTCCTCAATCTTTGACGGCTTTGGTTACATTTATTAAACAGTTTACAAGCATGAAAACTTGCCAATCAACTGTTGTTATTGTTATAAACAGCCTCCTGGTGCTTCGGAGCTCATTAACTGTTTAATAATTGGAAATAAAGCCGCCAAAGATTGAGAAAAGATGTGCAGGTTCGTAACTGCTTGCGTAAGTGCTTTCGTGAATCTGGCCCCAGGCTGGTTATAGAGAGCATAACTTTGTACCAGTGGTCAAGGTCCTCCCTGCGGCCCGGGCCTTGACCCCTGGTACAAAGTTATTAATACTACGAATTATAAACTTTTTGCATTAATAAACTTGTGTGTACAAAGAGCAAAACAAGTAATGTACAAGTGAGCTGACAGCATTATATAGCTCCTCTAGGCCCTCTTTTCTTTCTCTTATGTTGCTATATCTCTCTCTCTATGTCACCTCTACCGAACGTTTATCTCTCAGAATGTTCGGTAATATGTTTATTGTTTGTGATGTGTTTATATGTATGTATTAACACGATGTACTGAACGGGGTGAGAATAGCTTGAGCTACCTCATCCCTTTGTGTGTATTTTACCTCAATAAACTTATTTCAGTTTCAATTTCACCCATTTTTCTTCGGCATTAAACCTTGCAAACAGCACCAAAACTCAATACCTAGCAATTTGTATTTATATATATATTATATATATATACAAGAGTTCTTACATATATACATAGTTCTTACATACTAGTACAGCCACTAGCACGCATAGCGTTTCAGACAGGCTAATACCTAATTTTCCCTGGAATACGACCCGCCAAATCGTTTAACAACCAGGTACCCATTTGACTGTTGGGTGAACAGAGGCTACAGTTAAGGATTGGTGCCCGGTCAATCCTCCTCGGCCAGGATACGAACCCCAGGCCAAAACGTTCGCGAAGCGCAATGATATTAGAAAGACACAATACAGATAAATACTACCTAGCCACGCTTTAAATTACGAAAATCATCACTTAATGTTTAATTAAATATAATCAAGAGTGAATCTACTCAGTTCTCACTCCCTATTCCATATAACAATAGGACAAATGCCTGGTGCAATAAATTACTTCCTCTCTGACAACATAAAAGAGGAACTTACCTTAAATATATAGCGCTCTGATGCAGCAGTCTGCCTCCAACAGCGTCCACGGAACCTCTGACGGTTTAAAAGATTTGCTCGGCTTCCATGATCCAATGGTGACACATTTCTGAAACGACATTTCTTCCTATTATACAATGCCCAAAACAACCGTAGCAAGTATAACAGTCACCAGTAACTGTTTACAGTAGCTTGATCAACTTTTGTAAACAATTTTGGTAAGTGACCAACAATTATAATCTCTAAACAGAGCATTTAAAGTTAGAGTTTTGAAACCTAACAGCGTCGCAGGCGGCTCAAGCTATAATTGCCAGATGTCTCCAAAGAGAATTCCGCTATATAATATTTAATTATTAGTATATTTTGGTAGCAGTCTTTCCTGTAGACATATATTATTAAATATGACCGAAAAAGTAAGATTAATAATTCTAACACGAATATTCTCAATATTTCTTATATTTCGTTTGAAAAGAAATATTGAGAAAATTCGTGTTAGAATTATTAATCTTACTTTTTCGGTCATATTTAATAATATTTAATTATTATAAACATATTAATGGGTCTATCGATTGCCACACATACAAAATCACAATTACATGCAAAAAATACAATATATATACAGCATGCTGAAGTTGAATATGCAAATTACATGTTGCTATATCCTTAAAGAACAGGTAAGCCTAGCAATCTAATTACAAACTCTATATATACCTTTCTTTACAGCAAAACCATATATGAATTTACACACCGTAGCCTAGCATCAGAATTACCTCATTACAGAAAGAATTACAGAACCACCACCACCATACCTTAAGAACAATAAAGAATGTAAGTTGGCTTACTTCAAAGCTGTAATTACCAGAGAATTCAAAATTAAACTAAGAACAAGGCTGCCAGCTTATTCGTAACCACTGCATCATGACGTCTTTATTGATATACTTCATGTGATATACTTCATGTGATATACTTCAGACCAACAGGTGATACACTTCGCGAAAGAGACCTACTGTCCCGTTTTCTGTTTTGGGTCCTCTGGTAGGTTAGGAGAGACTACTTTATATTGATCGTTTTCTTGACGTTCGGAAACCTTATTAGGACGGACTGGTACAAGATAGGGGGGAAGGAGGTAGGGATAATTGGGAAGACAAACTGGATAAGAGAGTATATAAAGGACAGAAACGAAGAGTCACAGTCAGAAAGAAGGCTTCTAGCTGAAGACGTAGGGGTCCAAATGAACAAATCCACAAGGGCCGTGACGAGGATTCGAACCTGCGTGTAACGTAGAGGTCCCACAGGGCTTTATCCTACGACCACATTTTGTTCTAAATTTATGTAAAAATGACCTTCCCGAGGGAGTAAACTCGAACATGTCAATGTTTCCCGGCGATGTAAAGCCAATGAAGACTGCAGAAAGTTACAGAATACAGCCTTGGTTTACTCAGAAGTGAGTAAACAAATGGCTGCTAGAGTTTAATCCCAAGAAGTGTAAGGTAATGAAGATTTGAAAAAGATGAAAGGAGACCAGGAAGTCTGTACACCATAAAAGAAAGGCAAGTACAGGAACAGGTAAAAATTAGGAGTCCATATAAACTCTGACACAAACTCCAGAAGCACACACATTTATTTATTTATTTATTTATTTATTTATTTATTATAAACAAGATGGTACATTGGGTTTATTGGAGTACAGAGACTAAAAGTTTTACATTCTTGTAAAGCCACTAGCACGCATAGCCTTTCGGGCAGAACACAAGACAATCGCCAGCATATGGGAAGCTCTCAAATATCACAACATCATTTATAAACCTAAATAATAACTTTAGTAAGTTAATAATAATAATAACTTAACCTTTTATAGGTATAGGTTAAGTAATAATTGTAATTACGAAGCAATAAGATGCTTATCTTAACATACTAAGAAGGTTAGGTAAGGTCGGTGTTTTCTATGAAGCTCTTCAAGGTAAACTAAAATATTCACAATAAATTAGTATGTCACATATGCACTTATTTAATAAGTCAATATTGACTTAAAGTGCGAGAACGGGTTGCTCAATGTACACATCTTTGTTAGACCAATACATTAGTAAACACCACTGGCCTGCCACCCACTTGCACCAAAATCTTGCGTTGCCAAGATTTTGCAACAAGATTAGTGCCAGAATTCACAGATTTAAACTATGAGGCTCTGTTAAAGGCACTAAATCTTACCACACTAGAGGAGAAAAGAAACGAAGTAGACATGATCACAACATGTAAGATACTGAGGGGAATAGACAGACAAGGTGGACAGCCTCATCAAATGAGCCGAAGGAATGTGAGGAAATACTGGTACCGTGTACGGGCGGTCAACAAGTGGAATGACCTGAAAGAACAAGTTGTGGAAGCCACCTCCACCCACAACTTTCAGACCAGACTAGTTACATTACAACACAGGGGCATTATATGGGGCATAAAGAACTATACCCCACGTCACCATAGTCACATATTGGGCACTAATAAATACCCACATAGTCAAGTCTACATATGTAGCCTATCCTCCAAAAAATATAGTACTTAAAATAACTATTTGCTCAAACGTACAAAAATGGACTGTTAGATACAAAACGTTCACATTTTGTAATATTGAATTATCACAAAAAGACATACTAAAAATTGATAAATTGAATGCAGAACCTAAGTTAATCTATCTAAGCATTTCTAGGTCTATTATATACGCTATCTTAGGCCTAATATAGTATATATAGGCGCTATAGGCCTAGTAATATGTGAGCTTGGCTTAAGGCTTATAATTTCCAAGCACTACAAAAATGAATAGTGCTTAACGTGAGTATTGTTGACTGCACGCACTCTCACACGCACTCTCACACACTCACTCTCACGCACTCACACAGACTCACACTCACACGCACAGGCACTCTCACGTACTCTCACACACACACACACTCTCACACACTCACAGGCACTCACTCACACGCACTCTCACGCACTCACACACCAGGAGAGTGGGTTGGACACTAGCTGACCCCCGCCCCATCCCTCCCAACACCCTTCCCATCCTCCCCATCACTTGCCCTTCCCCCCTCCCATACACTCTTCCCCCATCCCCGCCCACTCCTGTGTTCTCTTGCACCCATTCCTTACACCCTCCCCGCCCATTTCCGCCCCCTCCCCTCCCCCCAACAAAAGGAAATACTACAAGGTTATCCATGTACACATATGCTGAAAAAATATAGTTACAGATATTACATATTTGGCAACCCTTTACTCTGAAGGTAAAACTGTTGTCTTTTCTGTCTGTCTGTCTGTCTGTCTGTCTGTCTGTCTGTCTGTCTGTCTGTCTGTCTGTCTGTCTGTCTGTCTGTCTGTCTGTCTGTCTGTCTCTCTCTCTCTCTCTCTCTCTGACCTCTCCCTCCGCCCCTCCAAACTCTCTCTCCCTCTCCCTTCTTTTCCGGTACACCTTGTAAACTCTCTCTTATCTCAGAGCCAGTGAGATCACACACACACACACACACACACACACACACACACACACACACACACACACGCAGAAGTTACAATCTAGGTCATGGTAATACTTCCTGTCTTCCTGACGCACCTGTCCACCGGCGTCTTCCTCTTTACTGCCTCTGTCTCATCTGTTACATTTTCCCTTTTCCATATTTTGATTTCTATCTTCGTCTGTCTCTTCACATATCTCAGTCGTGATTTCCAGCTCTTAATCCCTTTTCCAGTTCCTTTCGCGTCTTTTCCACTTTTCCTGGGACCTGGCTGATGCGTTCTCTTCTAGACCCCCCTTCCATATCTCTGTCTTCCGTTCCGTATCTCCTTCGGTCTCTCGTATATCCGCTTCTTCCACAGTACCTTTCCGGCTGTCCGGGGCTTCTTTTCCGGCCCTAACGTACCCTTTTCCGGCTATTCAATGCTTCTTTTCCGGCCCTAACGTACCCTTTTCCGGCTATTCAATGCTTCTTTTCCGGCCCTAACGTACCCTTTTCCGGCTATTCAATGCTTCTTTTCCGGCCCTAACGTACCCTTTTCCGGCTATTCAGTGCTTCTTTTCCGGCCCTAACGTACCCTTTTCCGGCTATTCAGTGGTTCCTTTCCGGCCCTGTCTCACCTCCTCCCGGTGCTGAGCGGAAGAGGTGCAACGCGGGAAGCTGAGGTGTAGGAAGGACCTCGCGAATATGTACTCAGGTTTAGGGCCAAGGATACATAGACGCGTTCCTGTAACCACAGCCCCCGTCCCATCCCTCCCTTCCCCTTATCGAGTACACCTTTGTTCTTCCGTCTGTCCTCTCCCTTCACGTCCTGGTGAACAGGAAACTTGCTATGAAGGTATCCATTGTGGTTTCTATATGTACAAAGATTACATATATACCATTTGAGTTGCCATTAAGGTATCTTATGTCACCTTGGAGACGTGTTTTTAGAAATTCTATCATTGAGCTTCGCGGTCAATCATGACTGGAAATAATGCCAAAGGGGAGTTGAATGATTGTGTGCAGAGCAGTCGAGCAGTTAACCCATACAATCTGTCAGGTTCTGCAATTGCTTGAATGCTGCACTCATCGATTTATTCATATCATAATTGTTTGATTATTATTTGCGTACCTGGTTAATATTAGATCATATTCCATGGCTACCTTGCAGGCGTTGTTATAGTTCTATTACTATCTAAATGTACAGGTAAAGGCTCTGGATAAGCCATATATATATATATATATATATATATATATATATATATATATATATATATATATATTATATATATATATATATATATATATATATATATGTCGTACCTAATAGCCAGAACGCACTTCTCAGCCTACTATTCAAGGCCCGATTTGCCTAATAAGCCAAGTTTTCATGAATTAATGTTTTTTTCGTCTACCTAACCTACCTAACCTAACCTAACCTAGCTTTTTTTGGCTACCTAACCTAACCTTACCTATAAATATAGGTTAGGTTAGGTTAGGTAGGGTTGGTTAGGTTCGGTCATATATCTACGTTAATTTTAACTCCAATAAAAAAAAATTGACCTCATACATAGAGAAAAGGGTTGCTTTATCATTTCATAAGAAAAAAATTATAGTAAATATATTAATTCAGGAAAACTT